CCCCGCCCCCGCCCGCCCGAGCGGCAGCTCTCCCAGCCAATAGCAACACGGCGCTCACTGCTAATGAGGGGTCGGCGGCCGAACGGAGCCAATAGGGAGAGAGGGGCGGGGCTAAAGCCCTGGCGGGGCGGCGGGAAGGCGGAAGTGGCGGCGGGGAAACCGCATGGGGAGCGGCGGCGACATGGGCCGGGGGCCGGGCCGGGGCCATGGACAGAGACCGGGACCGGGACAAAGACCGGGCCAGGGCCAGCGGCAGGGCCAGAAACCGGGACGGGCACCAGTACAGAGATCGGGACAGGGACCGGTACCGGGGCGGGGAGCGGCCGCCCCGCGCCGCGGCAGGTCAGTACCCCGGGGGCATCCGGTCGGGATCGGGGCTGGCCGGTCCCCGGTCCGGCCCGGCTGGGCTCTGGTGGGAGCCCCGCTTCCTCAGGCTGCGTCCCCGCTGCCCCCCCTGCGTGCAGGTCCCGTTGTCCCGCCGTGCCCGGGTCCGCTGGTCCCTCACCGGGTGCAGGTGCTCCGGTATCCGGTCCCCACGTACCTTCATGGCCGGCTCTTGGTGCCTGGGTCGCTGTGTCCCCACTGCTACCGTGTCCCTCTGTGGCCGAGTCCCGGTGTCCCCCCGTGGCTGAGTCCCGATGCTTCATGACAGGTCTCACCCCGCATTTGTTCTCTCCCAGGAAGGAGAAGAAGATGGAGAACATGAAGCCCAAGCACCCCGACGAGCAGGAGATGCCTTTCCGCCTGCGGGAGCTCATCAAGAGCCGCGAGGCCATGAAGCGCCCTGACCTCGGGAAGAGGCAGGCGGCAGGTGGGACATGGACATCACCTGAGCCCGGTTCCCTGGGGGCCTGGCCGAGGAGCCCCCAGTGCCACGGTGCCAGCTGGAGGCAGCCGGATCCTGCAGTGGGGTGTCCTACTCCTCCCGGTGATGTCCCATCCCCTGGCTTTGTCCCCGCTGCAGTAATGTCACCCGTCTCTCCTAGAGAAGAAGCAGCAGCCCAAGTCGAAGGGTCCCAAGGCCCCCGGAGACATCCCCGTGCGCAAGGTCAAGAGAGGGAAGAAGGAGTCGGAGCGCTCCTACATCTGCCGGATGGAGCAGGAGGTGCAGCGTGTCCTGTTCCTCACCAAGAACCAGCTGCAGCGGGAGCCTGAGAAGGAGGCGACGGCACCGGAGAAGTCCAAGAGAAAGAAAGAGTGAGAGCAGGAGATGGCCGTGGGGGGACGGGGTCAGCCCAGCCCTGTGCCCCTGCCCGGTTCTGGGCAGGTGGTGGGTGCTTTGCTGGTGCTGCAGGGCAGGTCTGGCATCTGGCAGCCCCTCGGGGTGCAGGTGGGGGGCTGTGGGCCAAATCTGTGGGTCAAATCTGGGGGATCGGAGCCACAGACCTTCTTCACCCTCCTGCTGCTGGGCTGGAGCTGAGGGAGGCTGGTGCCAGAGGAAGTGGGGGGAGCTGTGGGGCCTCAGGTTTTGGGGGGATCCCATGGGGTAGGAACTCACTCACTTGCTCCATGTCTGGTCACAAGCCCTGGCCATAACGCGGCTCTTCAGGTTTCAGAATAAAAAGCTGGAAAAAGCACGGAGGAAGAAGGAGGAGAAGAAAGA